ACACGACCGTAGCGTTAGAAGTTTACTGCTGCAATAAAGGAGGAAACAAAATGTTTGATATTTTTTCCAATAGAAAAGAATTAGGAAAAATAACACAATCAAATTCTTAAAATAATTATAAATATTTTCTTACGTCTTTTATAATTAAATATAATACTGTTTACTATCAGTAATCATTTTACCCCATGTTGTTACAAGTTTTTCACGATGCGTGCTGCGTACTCATTCAATTTAGATTGACATAAAACATAATTGGAAGGAAATGCAGGGGTTTTTTACCTTCAAAGGAGAATGGCGCTCAAACAACTACCAGCAGGTCACGTAACGATTAATTGATGTTTTAAATTGGTCTATTATTCTTGTGGCCTAAATGAATTATAGCAAAGTAAACACTTTTACATATATAGTTTAATAAATTGTTTATAACTCTTCTTTATACTATACGAAAAGTAAATATATCTTTTAAAAATAAGAGAAAAAAATAATGGTGAATATAACACTTATATCATTAGTCAGAATTCTTAAATTTTATACCAATATAGACAAAATAAAAAAGATTTATTAAATATTATACGTTATAACATGCAATTGAATGGATCAAATTGATTTTTTTTAAGCCTTAGCCTTAAAGTCAATATAAGTCAAAAGACGGATTTAATTTAAAGAACAATATCCATATAGAAATATTGCGCGTCAAATAATATTTCGACGCACGTCACTGAAACAATTAGTTCCAGCCCGTAGTTTTTAAGGTAGTAGAACCTAGCTGTAGACAGTTAATACATCTCGAAAATAGGCTGACTCGACCGGGAAAGTACCACCTTTTCTCAACTTGACGTGAAGTAACCTTTAATTGATGAGTTTCGTCGGACGAGTGAGACAGCCGGTCACCCTTTCCTGGAACCCTTTCCAGCCCTTTCCTTTTGTTACCTTTTACTCTCTTTTTTCTACAATCAAGTTAAGCCACGCATCCGCAACATCGCTTGCCAAATCTATGGTCGACGGTGACTAACTTCCATCAAGTGCCCCGGTTGCTTATTAATTAAACAAACAAAAGTGCTTGTCAATCAACTTATAAGAAAACTGGAGGAGCCAAATCGCTCGTCAAGATTAAGAAACCAAATCAAAGTAAAGAAAATAAACTACGGAAACTGTAAAGGCAATCTTTTTTTAAGCAAACAAGCTTTTATTTGAAGGAGTTGAAACGAAAAAGATGAATTATTAAATTAAAACTCTGGCTATGTAGTAATTTCAATATATTAATTTTATGATGTGATATCTTATCGCGAGATTTAAGCTCTTGTATTTTCTAAGTTGAATTTATGTGTAAAATATAAAGTAATTTTAACATTATTTCAGCTCAATCGATTGAAGTTCCCTTAAAAATCGAGTTACAAGATGTTAACCAAAGAAATCACAAGCTATATGGGAATACAATATACATATATACATGGAAAGGTGAATAAAAGGTTGTTAAAAGGATGACATTGCTGATAGCTACAATGTAATAAGAAAACAAAGTAAGAATGTTCGTAATAATGCATACAAACTAACTATAAACAATATTAGTGTCAAGTCATCAAATGTTCTTTCATTATTCTATAGGACTGCGTGTAACTTTTACGACTATTATAAATCAACCGGCTCACCGATGAAATATCGTCCGAAGCCTTTGCTATTGACATTTTCCTTGCGTATTCTCACGAAAAGTTCGTGACTTATGTCAGACTTGATATTTCAAAAAATGTTAGTGTATAATAAGATTTTTACGTTATAAAATATTGGTAAACTAAAAACTAATGAATATAAAAATGCATTAATATGATTTATAATAATATTTAATATATAATGTAATAGTGAAACCAAAACTCGTTTGTGATGTTTGTAATTGAAATCTTCGAAGGGACATATTTGATTACATTTAGGCTTAATCTGAGCAAAAGCTTGGGATTACAAAGATGGATTTACAATTTATACATAATAAGTTAGTACTATATAATACATTTATTTTTTGTTATTTTATATTATAAAAGACTTATTTTTAAACTCAAAACGAATACAAAAATATCTTCATTCAATAGAAGGAAATATAAATAGCTAATTAATAACCTTAAATATAACAAAGGCTTTAAGAAACAAACCAATTACAAAAATAGAATAAGGTTCTACAGTCAAAAATTCGTTTCCAACTTCAATTTTCAATTTATTTTCACCCGTTGTGTAAGCTTTCGTTCTAAATTGCTGTATTTCTGGGACTGGGTGTAACAGAGTGGTAACCAGAGCAAAAACGATATTGTTAAGGAAAATATAAACGCTTTTAAAACCAATCAAATATATTTATTAAAAAATTGAATAAATAAATAAATTATATCAAAATTAAAAAGTTTACAATTAGAAACGAATAGGACAAATGCAAAACTTATTTTGCAAATCTTGGATTCAAAAGAAGATTAATTGTCCTAAAGCAAAATATTACCTTGCTGTTCGATAATTATTTCCCTTATTTATCCAGAGAGGTTGGCAAAAATTTTCAGTTGTAGTATATTTTATCACAGTTTTATAAATGAAAAGGGACATGTGCTACGGTTAAGTTGACGAGTTTCTAAACAGTCTGGCAAATACAGAGTGATACACAAAGAGAAATAGTTATTTTTTAAAAGTTTTACATGAAAATTAATTATTAATACAGAACAATTCAATAACTAGTAGAAAGATAAAAATTTCTATATAAAGATTTTGGTAAATTTCTGAATAAATTAAAAATATTTAAGCCACTTTTAGAGAATTTTTAATTAAGGTTAAATTTTTGTTTTAATTATTCTCTTACATTAATATAAAATAATTATTTACAAAGGAGATGAAATGTGTCAATCATGGCCGAAAATTAATCAAAGTACTTATTTTTATAATGTGTAAAAAAACGACTCCAAAAAACAATACAGGAGCTAAAAAGTAGAAAATATTTTTCTTTAAGTAATGATTCCCACCTTAACTCGTCTAATTATAAACTATTAATAAAAATGTTTGATAAATCTCAGGTATTTGATAGACTCCAGTCATCTTTTCTATTGAAATTGAGGTGTTTTTTTAATTTCAATAGCCTTGTGGATTAACCTGGGTATATACCCATACCCATCTTCATGAACGATGATATGTGGTTTATCAAACCGAATGTAGTGATTTGCTATGTCCAATGTATATTCACACACTGCTGACCGATAAGTTTTATTTAAATGAATAAAACTCGCTAAAATCTTAAATATTATTTAATGCCTAACTAAATGTATACAATTTCTAAATATTTCATCACCTTTTCAAGTCAAGAAACATCAATTGACGCCTATCTATGAACGGCTCTCAAACAAATGAGTTGCTGAACGCAAACGGTCCCTATATTGTTTATGAAATAACACAAGAGACAAGGATTCGTCACAATAATATGGGTGCCTGCGATAGGATAAGATTGCATAAAAGATAAAGCTGAACAATTTAAATCTGCAATTTTTTTCCCTTAATTTGAAGAGGATCCTATCATAGAAACCTGACTTAGTGACTATAATAATAATCCATATTGATTTTTATAAAGGAAATTTATTGAAACCCATCAATGAAAGTATTGTAACACGTATTAATTTTTATTTAATTATTACATATTTGTGAGTATCATCTATTTTTATGAAACATCTATATTATTTACAATAAATTATTTACACTTAATTTTTATGACTATAAAACTTAAAAACGATTATAGGTTTTATACAACAATTACTAAAATATAATTCTATAAATAGACTACACTACGTGAGATCTATCTTGACTAGATTCTTATTATATGTATTTCAATACATTAATAGTTCGATATGTTATTTATAATTACAATAGCAAAATAGCTTTCTATATTTTTAATACAATGACTGATATTGCTAAGAGAAACTATAAATACATTTATGAAAATAAAGTAAATGAAAGCGTAATGTTAAGTAAAATAAAAGCGAATACTTTAATGATTATTTAAGCGCCCAGAAAGCACCTCGTAATTGATGTGTTTTTTTCGTATAATTACGTTTTTAACATTATATCAATGTTGAGCTTATATTTGAATAAAAATTCAAGTGGAAAATGTTGAGTGAAAAATGCATAGATAGGCACAGACTGCAGAATAAGAAGATGTAACCTCTGGAATATCCAGTTCTATTTGCTTTACCAATTAAGCTATCGTGTGCTGAGGCTCGTCCGTGAATTAATTATTTTATATATTTAGCAGATTAAAGCTGCCATTTGATAAATCTGCTTATGTTCCGGTTTTATTCCGTTAATGAATTATTCATTCTACATTTTCTACTTGAACTTTAATTGATAATTTTTTTAAGTAACAATTATCATTTATTATAGATAAACATTTATTTTATTAATCCTCTAATTTATTTTCTCTTTTTTAAAGTGCATATGCATAATATGAAGTTAATTATGCAGTGCTATATTTGTAGGACCTCATGTTTATTTATCCCTGTTATATTTTCATTAAATTTTATAAAAAAACTTTATAATAATGTTAAAACTTATTTTTATATAACATTTATATCATATGAAATAAAAGCTATTAATCAATTTTAGTTCACATAATACCTACTAACAATTTATTCATAATTCATCGCGACTCCTCGTTTCTACTTAATATTATACGAGTACTTATAATAATTGAATCTACTGCAACGATATGAATTACATATTGTGAATATGTTAAAAAAAGATTAACTTTTAACTGAAAGTATAACTTTTTAAATCAGAATATATTATTAGATTTTAATAAGTCATAATCGCCTTTAAGTAACAAAAATTTCAAATAATTAAAATGTGTTCATAGGATTATATATATTGTGTATATAGTTACAATTTAAAAAATATAATTTTTTAAACTACAAAATAGATTTCTTATAAATCTAAAGTTCTCAACTAAAAGCGTATTGAAAGTGCATCACACGAATTGCGATCGAATGTTTCTATTTACTGAGAGCGCGCCGAGGCCGGGATCCGACGTTGGACGGACGCGCTCCCAGGGTGCGGGCTACCTTCTCGACTTACAATACTGACAAGATAATACCTTTTTGAATGCTTGTCTGAATACCTTATTAAATATTGTATAAAATATTGGATTAACCATTGAACTGGCATAGCCTAGCCAAAGGACAAAATCAAATACCCAACTCGCAATTCTTCTTTCACATTCAGGACACACTACAGGAACCATATTGAGAATGAAAAATGGAGCCCAAAGAACAACAAAAGTGAAGAATACTACCCCGAGTACCTTAGTTGCTTTTTGTTCCAATCGTAAGATTCGTCCGTGCCGAGATGAATTGCGAGATATAACACTGGAATTTCTTGAATGATGAGTTCTAGGAAGCTGACGCTGAGGGCTGGGAGTAACATTAGTTTGTTGACGATTGTTAATTGACCTTTGGTTCCGAATAGTTCTCGCAGATGTAGTAAGTGTTGTTCGAGCACCACCGAAACTAGATCCTCTTCTAAATCTCCTTGCTTCTTCCCAAGTAACTATAGAAGATGTACCCCGACTAGATCGTCTAAAAAATGGCGTTGAAGGTTCATCGTTTTTCAAGTTTCCATTCCTAGGATACCCGTTGCAGTCAGTTATGTCGCCTCCTGGAACTATAATTACTTCCGTAGTGCGCCTTGGCGGTGTCGCATCTGACCCAAAATAAGGACAAGTGCAAGGTGGTGGTAATAAAAGACCATCCTCTGAACTCCTGGACTTGGTTGTCAATGTAACAGGTGCAAGCAGTCCATCATTTGTGTCATCATCAGATGCACTGCGTGGTCTATTCAAGGGCGTATTTGTATCACAAGTTGATAGCCGTCGTTTTTCCTGAAGCATTGATGATGGGGAGCTAGAAGAAACACTTAGAGATCCTGGTGTAAGCATTCCTCCCCGTTCAGATATGTTTGTCCTGTAAAGGTTGAGTTGTATAAGATGCAGGAAAAAATTGAAACATATAGAATAATTTTATACACATTTCATAATTGATTTGTATCAAGACGATATTACACGAAAAAAATATAATTATGCAAACATTAATATTTCAGATACAGAAAGGAAAACAATTCTTGATGAGATTTGAAGGGAAGTAGGTAATACTTTGTACGATTAGGGTATGTGTTTATTGCTTAAGATGGTATAGCTATATTTAATTGTATTATTAATTTGTATTACTAATATATTTTTTAAGCTCAAATATGCATATCTAATATACGTGAATAATTATATTTAGCTATACTATCTGTCGCTAAATTTCGAAGCGAACAAATAAATGCCAATTGTATACCCTCTGCTAGACGGTTTAGATGCTGCGGAAGCTTCCAAGCCGCGAGACAGACGCAACATCTCTGCCCCGAAATGATGCAGTGCACTCATTGCTGAAGGGGCGGGTTCGCTGTGCACACACAAACGAGCGACAGTCACAAACAACACATTGTTGAGAAGCAACATTTATTACTTGGGATAAGATGGTATTATGTGTGATGTAAAACTATACATTTATATAGATAATTTACTCTAAAATATCTTAAATCAAAACATCAATGTTAATACATAAAAATAATACTAATTTTAACTACATTATAATTATTTGTTTATTTCTTCGGTATTTATATAAGAATAATTAAATTTTATTACATTATTGAAGTCTTTAAAATTAGAATGTGCTTTTAAATGTAGTCTAGACGATGCAAAGCCATCCCGACCGCTAATTAAAGTCTTAATTGTAGTGTAAGATGGAGTTTATATTGAATAAAGCAAACTTATTATCGAATATAGTGTATTTTATGAGGCTAAAATATATTAATTTTATACATATTATAGTTTATTCTTTTATAATTGGATAGGTATATTTCAGGTTCAAAATTACATTATTTTATGTGGTACGAAAACAGGAATATTTGGTTTTTTTTATTAAGGAAATCTTTTCGAAACAGCTTTCTTGAGAGTAACTGAACAACGCCACACAACAATTATAAGGCAGTGGGTAAAAGTTTAAGAGTCTTCATAGAGGAACAAACGATTTGAAAACAAATAAAAATTCAAATTTATGTACTTATATAAAAAATAGATCGAGATTCTAGTTTATCAATCTAAATTTTACTACTGCAATAATAGAATCTACTTTTACTCGACCACACACTGGCACCAGCGGAATTTGAATTACAATTAAAGCTTTAGATCAAAAACAAAAGCACAAGAAGAAGCATTGAAGCTATTTGCATTTAAATTACACGAGCATTAATCTTATTTCACGTGCCTTCACATGCATGAAGGAGAGACAGCACCGAAAACGGAGAATAAATTCTCATGACATTTCTGGGGTTTGTAACGTAATTGTTTCTTTCCATTAATTATCATAACCTCAGAATAAGTTACGACTTTTTAATTCTTCCAAAAATCATTGCAGATAGTAAAATAAAAATTAATCAGCTTAATTTTAGTCTCTATTCAAGTATATATCGTTTATCATGTGATTGATTTTTGGAAGTCGTAGGATGAATTGCACACGTAACTACACACGTATAATATAAGGTAACACAATTCTGATTCTTTGTGTAATTGTATACAACTTACCTAGAATCTTGAAGCCATAAATCTCTGGTATCTATGGGAGGCAATTCAGTTTCAGTAGATGCTGCCGAATGTTGAGGGGTTCCGCCCCTTGGACTAAGAAATCTGCGCCAGGTGCATCGTCTTTCTATATATTTAAAAGACTTGAATGTATAATCAAATTTATGTTTCATTTAACTCAATTATAAATATACATATATGTATAAATTTGTATTGAACATTTAAATCTGGTACTTGTAACCTAAGGTTTTAATTAACGCCAAGGTATAGGACTTAAATCTAATGTTGTTAAATATTTTTCTACCTTAGTTGAGTAACAAAAATAAACTCTCAGAGTGTACAGAACCTTAGTGGATATAAGTTCAACATGAAAGCTTGCACTGGATTAGTTATAATTGACCCCTATTTGTTTTGTAGGAATTATATACATATATATGTATATATATTATACCTCTTTTATGAAAACAAAGCATTCTACATATAAAGACCCGCGCTCTATTAATAATAATAAGTGCCAATTAATTATTCGACCTTAATAGGTTTAAATCAATCTTTAAAATATTCTTGGAGACTATATCCACTTTCATTAAAAAAAATGCAAGTGGCATATACTTGGGGGCATTGTGTAATACATTATAATACCTCTTGTAGCAAAATATGCTTTAACACGTTTGCAGTAAAGTATTCTTGGTTTAAAACGAACTGATTGTCCTCAGGAGAAATTATTATTTTTTACTACTGTTCGCAGGTAGAATGTTAGAAAAATATTGTGTCAAGTGTAAATTTAAATACAACAATAAATTAAAGGACCTAAGACTGTAAAAGTCCGTATAGAAAAAGGTCACGAATGTACATTGTATAATTATCTTTTAAATATTAGACTTGAAGGTTAATAACCGATCAAAAGCGGTCACCAAATACATTACCGAAATGAACGTTCTTCTAAAATATTTCTTCGTAAGCCGCTTGAGCCTCCTCGATTATAATCCACGGGGCTTATATTAACGCAAAGCTAAGCCAAGATGGAAAAATGAAATTGGGGAAACGAACGTTTGAATAAAATTATGCCGCATGTATTTAAATAATCTTCTACATTAATCAAAAGAAAAAGACGTTCATAATATCGCTCATAGTAAATTTATGTACTTCAATTATATATCTTCTCGTTGATTTTATAAAACTTTATGTACATAATATTTTTAAATCCATTCAACTTTCAGATAGAATTTTTTTTGTAAGTATTAAGACGTGAATATAAAAGTGATATTAAATTTTTGAGGATTATATATTTTTGAAATAATGAAATAAAAGGTCAAATCTATTTAATCGATACGTATAAATAAAATAGGAATGTCTTTTTGTAATATTAAAATAACCGTTTCTAAAACAATATTCCTTAAATTTTTGTCCGTCTGTCTCTTTGTTCAGATGAATCTCTGAAATGGCTGGACTCATTTTGACGGGATTTTTATTTGTAGGGAACGTATGTAACAAGTAAATTTGACTACTTTTTATACTGCTTTCGACTCCTGATCCCAAAATTAGGCGTTATCAACCGCGAGGGGGGGGGGGGGCTGCATGTGACGCTTAAAAATTTTTTCCTTGCTTTCTTTTACACACACAGATATCAGCTATCATAATTATCACTTTTGGAACCTCTTTCACTTCGAGGTTCCAAAAATGTAACAGTATGAATAATTTAACAAAATCTTAAGTAGGACTTTGTTAAATTATATCATTAAGACAAACAATATCATACAAAACTGTTATGAATACCCACCATGAAAATACCGTTGTTAATAAATTGTTTTAAAAATTAATTTTGTACTCTTTAATTAACCTTATGAACAGTTCTAGTAGGCTAAATGAGTGTGGTAAAATAATGGTTACATTCGTGATTAATATGAATGAAAATAATTATTCCTGTTCAAACTTAAATATCTTTTTTGAATATTAATATTTAATTCACAGTCAGAAAAACTTTATGTATTTCATTTTCAATGTACGGTGTTTTTATCTGATAAATAACATTTTAAATTTTTAAAGAAGCAAAAGTTTTCAAATAAACATTCTGACTTATGAGTTGAAATATGACTAATGGAAATTTTATTTGACATATAATATGTTCATATACCTAGATAACATGATAATGAAGTTATTTATTTTAATCTAAGACAATCAAGTCATAATCACCAATCGGAATCGCACCAAGCCACCCAGCGGCCCATCCTTGGCCTAGGCCTTTCCTCTGTCTTGCTAGTAGTTGCACTGTAAGCGCGTAGGTGAGTAACATCACGCCGAGAGGAATGTAGAAAGATATCACAGAGCCGATAGCTTTATATAAAGGATCTGGTATTTGACAGGAACCACCGATGAGGACTGATTCTTCATTCTGGGTAGGAATAAAATGGAAAAATTATATTCATATATATACATAATAGTTTTAAGAGAATCACTAGTCTATCTATAGTTACTTTTTTAGATATACTGTCATAGTAAATGATGCTTTTAAGCTATTGCAGGGCTTTAACCACAGACTTTGAGCTCGGCGACCGAATCAAGAATATCCGTAACGAATGAACCTAACACCTGTCGCCGAACGTAGTTTCAATTCGGCACGGTGTTTGTGTATTTGCGACTAGATATAGGCTTGTAGGCTAGCAGCTAACCGCTCATAGCTTATTCTCTTATAGTCACACATACTAAAAATACTGCAAAAATGAAATAAATAAATAATCTAAGCGCACGGTAGTGCGCCGGCCAAGTTCCACAGGCCGGCGCATGCCGTGCACTATATTTACACGAACCGTTTCGACCCACATTTGACCCCCCTGTAGCTCAGTGCCTATTGCAAGTACAGAGATAAAATTGTACCTACGTAATCATATACTAGTACTAAAGCAGTATGCCAAATTTCATAGATAAAGATTCAGTAGATCCTGAAATATGACCCTGTGAAAATAGCTAATTTTGGCACTGACTCACTGACAGGTAATCAAAACCTCTAGGCCACTTCCCATTGTTTTAGCATTATGAAATTTGGTACACAGGTTGTGTGTTATATGTAGATTAACAAAAAATTAAGAAATTTAAGAAATCGGTCAAGCGTGAGTTGCCTCAACTCTAAATATCGAATTTTTAATAAATTCGACCCACTTTTGACCCCCTGTAGCTCAGTGTCTATTGCAAGTACAGAGATAAAATTGTACCTACGTAATCATATACTAGTCCTAAAGCAGTATGCCAAATTTCATAGATAAAGCTTCAGTAGATCCTGAAATATGACCCTGTGAAAATATATAATTTTGGCACTGACTCACTGACACGTAATCAAAACCTTTATATAGGCGCTCAGCTCAGCACAATAAAATACATAATAATGAAATATAAATAATTAATAATATGAGTACATCTATCAATCGGTGATAAATGAAACTAAAAAATTAAAAATAAATATAGTTTAAAAAAAAACTAAAAAAACACGCTCCAATGATGAAAGAAACCGCGTGGAAACTAATTTAACCTTTACAACCTTGGAAATCAATTTAATTTAAATTGTTTAAAATAAACAACAAATGGTATTATTGAGAAAAAGCGTGGGGCGCTTCTCAAGAAGTGATATATGAAGCTCCCCACGCTTTTTTTCACAAGAATACCATTTATTGTTTGTTAATTTATTTTTAAATTAATATTATTGTGAAAAAAGTGTGGGGCGCTTCTTAAGAACTGATATATATATAAGGGATATAAAATATTGTCATGTATACATAATGCACACTGTATAACTTAATTAAATATTGCTTACCTAAAAAATCAGGTTTCTATTGTGATAAATTACTTTCGATAGATAGCGCTAGCGGTATAATTGAATCGCGATATTGTGTTGTCTGCAGTATATATGAATGAAAGCCGATAAGGAATCGATGGTCATTTCTTTCTATTTCTTTCTACACTTATGTCTTGATATCTTATATATGGTTACGATTACGATTAAATGGATCACTGATTTGACTTGCTAAAGGATTAATTTTGATATTGCTTATTGATTGATTACTTGTGTGTGTTAAAAGCACAAATTCACCCTATTTCTTTTCTACTATTCATTTACCAACGATGGAAATTGTGTATCTTTTGGTGGTTGGCGGAGATATACCACATAGGGTAATTTCTATGCCATCAGATGGTAGCTGTATGTTTCATGCTGTAAGTTATGCATTGTACGTCTGTATAGTACGATTGTATGTACGATTTCTTGAAAAAAAGTATTGAAATCTCACCAAAAACATGCCTGTTAAAAAGGGGGCCAAGTTCCAATCGGCTACATGTTTGCCTAAAAAAGGGGTGAAATCCAATCTAATGCCAAGTTTAGATGCACTTTGAAATCGATCATAATCATCTTCATCAACAGCATGATCCACTGGTAAACATTTGCCATTCCCAAGACTCGCCACCACCCCCAGTCCTCTGCCTTCCACATCCAGCCACTACCCGCCACCTTATTCACGTCAACGGTCCATCTGGCCGAAATTCACTTTACCATACACCCAACTTAAAATATGGTATAGTTGTGAAAATACGTAGGTGCTTGGTTAAAAATATCTAAAATTATAATACTTCTCAATTTGAACTTGGCAGGTTTTTGTGCTGTACGTAACACTTAATTAATTGTATCATTAATTTATTATTTATATAATTATTTATATTTATATAATTTAAATATTTAAATAATTAAATTAACCTGCCAAGTTCAAATTTAGAAGTATTATAATTTTAGATATTTTTAACGAAGCACCTACGTATTTTCACAACTATACCATATTTTAAGTTGGGTGTATGGTAAAGTGAATTTCGGCCAGATGGACCGTTGACGTGAATAAGGTGGCGGGTAGTGGCTGGATGTGGAAGGCAGAGGACTGGGGGTGGTGGCGAGTCTTGGGAATGGCAAATGTTTACCAGTGGATCATGCTGTTGATGAAGATGATTATGATCGATTTCAAAGTGCATCTAAACTTGGCATTAGATTGGATTTCACCCCTTTTTTAGGCAAACATGTAGCCGATTGGAACTTGGCCCCCTTTTTAACAGGCATGTTTTTGGTGAGATTATAATTACATGAATTCATAAATAATAAAATTCAATCTGCTTTTCCCAACAATTCCAGATTCCACACGTATTTTTATTTTAAAGTTTATGACATTCTTAATGTCGTGGATTTAACTGAGCACCATTTGAAGCCATTGTCTGAGTTTTGAAACGAAATAATTCTTATATTGATCAATGTTGTACGCAAATAGTTTGTGTAATAGATGTCTCCTTTTGACGTCATTGTACTTAGTTATTTAAAAGCACTTATTTAATGTTTTACAAAGACATATAACACAACGGTAACATGTATTATGAAGTCATTATTATTTCAACATAAACAAAAATCAATAAATCTAAAAAAGACTTCTGACCTATACATTTAAATACAATAAAAGGCTTAAATGTGGTAATTTTCATATACTCATCTTAAAAAAAATTCCTTACTAATTCTATGTCTGCTTGGCTATCTCTCTACTGATTTCTCTTAACTTTTAGATAAAACTATAACTGTCTTGTTTTGAATTTAAATAATATCCTGAACTCAAATATATGTCTCTTACCGCTACTAAAGGGCAATTGATATGTGCAAATAAATAAATTACCTATACAAAACGATACATTAAGTTGTTGAGTATTAAATTAATAAATTTTCTCATAATTAGAATCAGTTTTTATAATACTTTTTTTTCTTGAGTGAAACAAATAATTTTTGCTTAGTAATCAGTTTAAATGTAATAATCATTATAAATAAGAAAATAGGAGGGAAAAGATTATTTACGTAGGGTCCTATATAGCTCCATTAATAGACAGTTTAAACACGAAACGAAATAAAATAAACAAACATCATTAGGACCAAGGAATGTTCCGACGAAACGTCTATGAATTTAAACATGATTTGGATTCATCCTTCAATTACGCGGACACAAATTAGATTATATATCATAATCCATTTATCACGAATTGATATCGTATATATCTGGGAGTCACGTACCTATACATATATTACTGATGCTTAATTAAATCTGTCATTTTTAAACTTTGGGGTTTTATAAATGATTTATATGTTGATAATTTAAAAATATTTTTTACGTTTTACATATAAATTTATGAAAAAATATATAAAAAATTTTCATTATATACTACTTAACAGGAATTTGAAATATTTTCGTAGTATTAGGCCGAAACTGTGAAAGCTATTAATTCTTATATATTTTTCTAACAGACATCATTATTCAAAAATGTATGGGTCTTGAAAGATAAAACACTAGAAAAGTATGTACATATGTATGTATTGTAACGGTTAGAGAAAAGTAAAAAATAATGAACCTATCTTCAACGGAAACTAAAATTAAAGTGTCAAGATTATTTATGCAGCCATTAAATCTTAAAATCGATAGTGTATAGCTGTTTTAACAAGGCTTTGTTCTCCCGGGTATTGATCAGACTTGGCTTGTTCAGAACAATTTAATTATTTAGGACAATGGGATCTCTTCTATATGCTGTTATTTGCTATGTAGCGGGCTTGCATTTTTGCTATTAACTACATACATATTTAAAAAACCTGCACATATGTTACATTTTTTACACACAATAAAACATATTTTTTAAATTCGGTAAAAACAAGTTTAATATACTTAAATCATTTCTGAAAAATGCCATTAACAATACCTTAATCATATCTCACAGACAATACTCTTTTAAGGTTTATAAAAAGCATTTTTGAGATCTTCAAAGATTTAACGATTTACGATTTATATATCATTTTATCTTCTCCTTATCAATGCGTATTTTGCCCGGCATTGAAAATTATATATTTACGTACAGAATAAGAGATAATGTTGGGAAAGCGTGGCCGCAAACCAAAATGTTAGATGTCAGTATTGATATTATACAGTATACATTTCCGAATTGATATAGGCTATTTATTATAAATTTGCAAGCTTAATGTGATTGTATTTAGCTACTTTAATGCATGAAATATTTGTATAAAAAAGTCAATTATAATTAAATCAAACGCGAGTGATGTAAAAATATAGCCTGGAAAAAACCAAAATAGAGAAAGTATAATGATTCAAAGTATAATTTTATGACACCTCGAAGGATCGAACTTGAAATCATCGGAATATTGTATTACAGTTGCTTTGCTATAAACAAAGCTACCGTGCTTTGATTTTAATAATTAATATATTTAATTAAAAAAAATCCTTCTTATTCTCTCTAACAATGCAGAATAGAAGATACATTACATCCAGTGAGAAATACAAAAGGTAAGTAGTTTGAATTAACTAAAGCAACTTATTATCGAACCAAAAAGAACTTCATTAGACCTTGCTGCTAACACAGCTAATAAAATCTAACAATCAATACATCAAATCTAAGGTAGATTAATATATATCTAACAAAGACATTAAATTGGGCCCGCAGCTTTCATTCAAAGAGAATTAATATTGGTGTAAGTATATTATTTACTTGTTTTCTCTTTGTCAGGTTTCGTCTTTGAAGGAATTAATTACCATTATAATTCACGTCGTATATAATTTCATTGTTTAAACAAATGTTATTGATATTTCAATAGATTTTAATTGCTTTACATTAATAAACCTTTTTACACGGCTTCATTGAATAATGTTCTTCGCTTATTGTAAATTTGAAATTAATTAAATATATGTATTTTAATAAAATAAAAAAAATCAGCTTCCATTTATTTTGACAGCTTTTAATTTTATTGTCTTATCAATTTTTAAATCAAAATACGAAGCAAATAACAGTTCTTAAATTCGCAAACGTAAATTAAATTTTTCACAGGCAAAAAAAATAATTAAAACAATACTCGCGTTATAATAAAAATATCAAATACAGGCTTTTTTTGAGAATAAGCGTTATGACTTTTAAAAAGCCAAAATATACTCAGAAAATTACACGGGTTACACGGAAAAATTATTAAACATTATGACTTATAAAGGTTAGTTATATCAGATTCGATAGTAATATTAAGCGAATTCAAATCAAAACCTAGTACATTAAAGTTAGTTCTGCTACAGATTGGATTGGGTGGAAGTTGGCTTCGTTAACGTTATTGGATTACCTGATGATACTGAATACAAACGTGCAGATATAAGATTCATTTATGTTAACGACACATAAATTATAGGGTTCCTCAATTTGGTATGAAAACTTGAACTTCTTTGGTCATCTTAATTATAACATACATACGAGTATATCTAGAATGTTATAATTTGAGAATTAATGTTATAACGTTAGTATGTAATATCTTTAAAGGTTTCTTATATATTTTTACTTTTTCTTTTTGCACATTACAATAATTTACTCGGAAAAATATACGGCAAACTACTGCCATACATATAATGTAACAAAAATATAAATTTATAGTTATAATTAATACTTACCATTCATACAGAACATGATAATTTATATAAATACGGATGAAAATTGTTATAATTAACAAAATTGTCTTGTGTTTCCATCGAATCATTACACTAAATGAACTAAATTAAGTATTGTATTCAAAATACTGAAGTTGATTTTACAAAATAATATAACATTAAATTTTACTTCGACTGAATGACACACAAATGATTTGACAAATTCATGTTATTATGGTAATTTATTGATTTATTCAAATCAATTATTTTAATTCGCATAATTTTATTTGTCCAACAAATTTGTGCAAAAATACTTTATCTCTTAAAATACTTAAAAAAGAATGTTTTATTTTTTTAACACAGCCTTCTTTTTGGGTCATTAGATTTAACTGAGTGGAAAAAAGATTTCGTTACTGCTATGACTTTTTAATTAGACTTATCAGAATGAAACTATCGTTGCTATTTACCTTAGAATACATTAAACTTAAAGGCAGACTCATGGCCGTTGAGAGTATCCACACGAATACGATTTTAACCGTCACTCTCTTCCTCGTCTTATTCCTTCCGAACCTCATCGGGTACCGGAGCGATAAATATCTGAAAGCAAAATAACGTTATAGAAATTGGAATCAAAAATCTTCAGTTCACAATACAAGTGAATTCATTTCATCGAAATCTATCGCTATGTTTATATTCTCTTTGTTGAAAAAGTTTCAGTAAATTAATAAAGTTTGCCAACTTTAAAACATGTTATTTTGAGAACCCAAGTTCATCGAACAGTAATAGATTGTTTCAAAATAATCATCCCCTTATTCAGGTTGAGTTCAACGAATAAATTTGCTTAATCGGTTGTGTAATTTTAAGAAGTCAATTATTTTCGATGCCACATTTTTTCCCGAAATTTTCGGTTATAAGAAATCTCACAAAGTATTTAATAATTTTTACGTTTCAGATTAATTTACAATAAAAATATTTTAATTTTGTTATATAGAAGAAATAGTGTTTGTTAACCACTTTATAATTTCATGCTAAAACGAGCTAAGGTCCTATGGGAAATCGAATGCCGTCTTGAGCACTAGAGCTAATTGAATAAGCCTACATGAAGCGAAATGCTTTGACTTAATGAAGTTGTAACAAAATAATATAATATAGCTAAGGGAATGTAAATATAACGCCTTAATATTCATAGTTTTGATAGTTTCATAGTTAAAAGTATATTTAATTTAGCTTCAAATTAACATATTTATAATTTACTTATCATTATTTATACTAATAATATAAGTTACTTTGTTTTTTATAATTATTAAAGATTAGATTAGATTACTAGTAACTCTGCAGATTTGTTAGGTTTTTATTAAAGTACAAGAGACCTGATTTTAATACATTTTCAGGTTAGATAGATTAGAATACTATTTCGCTGTGTTAGTAGATTGAATGTAGGATAAGAGAAACCAGTAGAAATTTACGAGAAATTTTTGGCAAGACCTAGTTTTGGATACGAAAAAATACACTATTAATTACAATAGCTACTTCGAATTTTTCGCATATATAAATTAAAATTATAGGAGCCAAATAAGAAAGGGTGTAAAATTTTTGTCTGAACCGCTTATAATTTTGAAAAAAAATGTTTAAAATATTTTCAATATGACTTATTTAATCTGCTGTAATTTAAAATTTAATATAATTAATGTATAATCCAGAATAAAGTCACACTTAAACATTTAAAAGGGATAAAAATAAAATGAGCTTAACATAACTTAAATTCAAAAAATAAATGAGCTTACATTCCAAGTTTGCAGGACAAATTTAAAAAGTATGAAATTCATTCCACTTTTAAACATACTGCAGTCTTTTAAAAAATTATAATTTATAAACTGAAAACTACTAAAGTATGTTCTCAAGTTTTCTCGTTTCTCACAATTTTATTTGTTTAAATCAAAAACTCCTTTAACATTATAATTCCTAAATGTTTATTTTATTACATCTATCTTTCAAAATAAACCTATAATTAATCGTAAAAATGCAAAAATTCTTTAAGCCAATATTAGATTATAAACTTTTTTGTTTTTTTCAGTGACAACGCAGTGATAGCTCAGATCAATTTCATGAACAAGTTCTCCAAAACCAATCGACTGTTTAAAATTGTACCGACATGTAGGCAAAGTTTTCCGTTCATAACAACTAATACCAGTAGATATCTGTTTCATAGCATCTGATTTTATATTATATTGTAAGATAACCTATTTTCAATAATAAATTTAATGACTAATATCGACATTTTGTGGGATACGATGGTAAGCGAATTACACAGTCATAATATACATATATATTCTGCTGATCCATATTTATAGATTCGCGTGAATATTTTTTACATATTAAATAAAATAAATTAAAGCGATTCTGTAATAAAATATGTAAATAACAATATGAATGTAATAATTCAAACACTTAATAACCCTTTGGATTAATCAAATTAATGGCTCTCCTGTATAGATACCGAATCTCTGAAAATGATAGCCTCATTATCACTCGTTATCTATAATCATGAAATCTGTTTTAAGGATAGGCGAGGCCTGTTTTTGTTATCATTTCTGTTTTGAACTGTTTATATACTTATGCAAAAATTATATTCTTTTATTTGTATATTTCGTATTTTACTAAATACAACACATACCAATTCACATTTACTTATAGAGGAAGTAACCAGAAAAAATTTGCTTCTTGGAGATATTTAGAATTAAAATAATATATGAAGATGAAAAAGGATGCTATTTAAACTGAGAATTTAACTTACCTATCAACGCTGATGGTGCATAGATGCATGATGGATGCCGTGCAGAGAAGCACGTCCAAGCAGATCCACGTTAGGCAATATACGGCTGGCAGTGGAAAGTAACCTAAGAAATACAACCAATGTATTATGGATGAATTTTGAAAGAAAAAAGTATGTCAAGGGAGTAAAGTTGTTCTATATAAAATTATTTCTATTATTATTATTAATTATTCTATATAAAATAACAATAATATAGCTGAAAACTTTTTGATAACGTATAGTGTTAAAGGTGATTTAAAATTATTTAAGAGAATTTGGTGTTTTGAAAATATTCTGTTTGATAGTTTTGCCATTTTTTGTCTAATTAATTAATTATTTTTCAAAAAATTTATAATTGTTTTTGAGATCAAGATGAGTGTGAATTCAAAATCAATTTACTCGCCTTGTCAAAAATTTTAATGACATAATTACTGCCTAGAACTTACTGCAAACAGTACGAAATACTTCTTAAAATAGTAAAAATCATATGCTTTAACTGCCAGGATAAATAAGTACAGAACTATAAAAGCTATACTATTGGACTCAGATATCCTTGACAGAAACCTCTTAATAATGAATTGATGACCATATTTTCTATGAATATATATATAGCTGATACTTTGTGTATTTCTTTTTATTTCATTGCATAACCCGTCATTAGTATTTCAAAAACAACTTGTACTCTTTCATTGCATCGATAAACTAAAATTTACCCCATTACTTATTAGCTAAAACATATTATTTTGAGTCTTTGGTAAGAAAATAGTTTACTAAACAATAATAGTAGGACAAAGAAGGCGATAGGCAGCCGTTACAGCTTTTGTAGTTAAAATATGTGCTGTTTAATTACAAAATCGAGCCTAAGTAGACAAAATAATTGCAATATCTAAGTATAACGGCTGTGGTGGATTTTAAAAATGTTGTAAAACTAAAATTAAACCTTAGAGGACACACTATTTTTAATATTTATTTCATGTTTCAAAAATCACATTATGTGTAACATTACAATAACAGTAACGGAATTAATATTTGACATCAAAAATATATAATATTAAAGCGACGCTAAAACCATGGTCATTAGTATTAGATATCAACTTTGCCATTACTAAAACACACCATCGGCAATTTCTGGGAATCTGTTGCCCGTTATTTATTTTATTACCCTTTACTAGAAACTGTCGTGTGATAAATTACCAAGAAATTAGCAAGTGATACTAATTGTTATGAGGCCATAGAATTGAGTGAGTGGGCCAGGGGTAATACATTCTGAAATAAAGTGTTCCATATATAGTATCCATAACAATCTTTTAGCTTCAAGAACGCAGCTGTTGTTGTAAGAAACTAAGTAGCTAATACGCTGCTCAGTTAAATACCTACATAAGAAATTAGCAAAGTTATTTGTTTAATTAGTTGGGATACTTTAGAATTCCAAAGTTGAATAAAACAATTATGTCAAACAATGTTAAGAAGTTTGTTAATGCAAAATAAAGTATGACCTTGTTAGATTTTAATCCGTTCGGTTTTATTGGTAGTAATAATTTGATTGAATTTATATTTTTAAGTATTAATATAATTAAAGGTTGCCTGGAAGAGATCGCTGTTTTAGCGATAAGGCCGCCTATTTGAACATTTTCCTTTCTTTGTTTTTCTCTTGTTACTTCTGTCTATATTGGTGTACATTAAAGAGTAAATAAATAAATAATTAAAATGATTTTGCTATTTTTAAGGAGCGCTAGGAATAAACATAATGGTACAGTATTTCTAACGAAGATTTTAATTCAACATCCAACAATAAAGCATAGAATTTGAAAGTAAAAAATAGACTTTGATTAATTATTTTGAGGGAATATTTTTTTTCGGATTCCTTGTTGAGTTTTCAATGAAATATTTTTAAGTCTTTAATCAACGCTTTACAGGCCGTTTGCTATTTAAATGACTAAGTCGTTATTTACTATCAAGATTGGGAATTTAGGGTGTATGTATATTTGAGTATCATCCCGGTCCTTAATAAAGTAGTTGTATTTTTAAGAGTCAAGAGTTTTAATAATATACGAACGTTTTCTTTACGACGAAGAGTTCGCTGCCTAGTTTCGAAGAATCGCGTATGTATTTGTTTTTATCGCACTGTCCCCACAGCCGCAAGAAGGAAAGCGACACGTTTTTTATTATGAAGCCACACGCTGGCGATTTGTGCACGTGGTTCTATGAATTAAGTTGTTTATTAACCAACCGACTAGTACTTTGTGCACGTGTTTCTCTGTGTAACTGGTAAACAGTCGATATACTTTCTAAAAAAGTAAATGTATATTTAATGAATAAACCACAATGTTTTTAATCTTGCCTAAATGTTTTTCATATTTTTTTATAAATACGAAAATCAATAAAATATATTAATATGCTGTCTACGGCCATCCGCTATTTTGAAAATAGACTGAATTCAGTCCATCTGTCATGTCAAATGAAAGAGACTAAGTGTTTCGAAAAAATATTAAATTGCAATAAGGTTTTGTGTCTCTTCAAACTTCATGTAGAAATTAAGAAGATCTTGATTTCTGTGTAATATAAAATTGTATGGTAAAGAGTGGTATATTTTTTTTTTCTGTGAAATTCATTTTTGATTTTCCAATACTCATTCTAGTATTATTCAACAGAAATGTTAAATAATACCATGGTACAAAACATATTAGTAAAATAATTTCTGACTACTGTTGCAATGAAATGTAACAATCCAAAATGTTATTCACGACAAATTGGAAACACATTCAAACCAGTTGTTTTGTCGAAATATTTATTGTCTTTTGACAATTAACGGTTATCGAAATTTTATTTTACTACATATAAAACGTTTTTATAACCTTTTGCTTTAATAATCTGATGAAAAAAATAGTCGATTCTTGAATTTATATCTAAAAATTACGGGGACTAAAATCAAGAGCTACAATTAAGTGTGATTTTATACTCATATAAGTTCATTTTCCTTGGGATATTTGCTATTTGCTAACATTAGGTTTATTTTTTTTGTAACAAGCAACTGTTTCTTCAAGATGCTTGACGAATTCTCATATTATCGATTATATGAAAATTTCAAATTTTACAACATGTCTTAAGAAACCACTACAAACTACTCTTAAAATACACTAACATATTACTATCTACATGTATTTTCTTACATCTCAATATACTTCAATATGTTACAATTTCAAAGACTTTGATAATTAAATTTTAGATTCACTCCTTTAAATTTAGACTAAGATATATATTTTTAGATGGATATTTATATATTAAAATATATAAATATAACAATGTTCCTTTTACGTAAAGTTAGTCGAAGTCTAATTAAATTCAATGTCAAGTTTACAATTACAGTGAGCTTGATAAATGATCTTTGCATCAGTGACGCTATTCCGCACAAATGCAGCGATTGCGTGATGTATATTAAATTATTTCTGGTGCCGTTTTAAAACTAGAAATAAAATACTCTGCTAAATGCTCCCTAAGTGATTGCTGGTTGAAAAACGTGATGTTATTTTAATTTATTGAAAAAAGTATTCACTAGGATTATGTTATAAAATATGAGACGTGTCATGAGATATTCAAATAAAAATATTACAATTGCAGTTAAATTAAGGCTTCAAAATATTAATCTCACATAAATAATTCCAAATTGTCGTTATGTGACATAAATGTAAATTAATAATTTTGTATGCAACTGTGAAGTACTTTCATTTTTTCGCAGTCCTTTAAAGTAGACTATCATAAGAAGTGCATTCGTTCCACCGTCGCCTGTATATTGTTGCTTGGTGCTAAATAGGTGTTTACAAAGTGTTTTTTATAAAAAAAATAATAATTCACAACTTCTATCCATTTGAATTCTAAATTCCTTTCACAAATACTTAAAAATTTTTGATTCTAAGGATATTTTTAAAGTAGTAATTTTAAATTTGTCCAGAAAATCTGAATTTATACAATCAATAGTAAATTATAAGAGTTCATAAAATTTCGATCATTTAAATAAGATAATATAGGCACTAAAAATTCTGTTTTTGATACCAACCTCTTACAAGCGTCAATATTCCCAAAGGCATCACTAGTATAGCAACTAGCAGATCAGTTATTGCCAACGACATTAGAAAATAGTTCGTCACATTTTGCAGTCTCCTTTCTAAATAAATCGCAAGACACACCAGCACATTTCCTGCGGCAGTACATACGACCAACACCAGAGCCACTAATCCCCACCAATTGTTCACCTCTCTAACATTTTCGTCCACATCAGTTATATTTACTATTTCAACCAAATCTGTAACGTTGTAAGTTTCATTCCATTTATTTTCATCTGCGATTTCAGTACGTAAATAACCTTGTAATTCTTGTTCATTCATTGTTAGTCGTTTTGCATCTCTCTGTTTTCATTTTCGTCTGGCATTTCATCTTATTTCGTAAATATGGTAAATTTTGTTCGGAGGGTCCATTTTGTTGCTCATCTTTACTTTTTCATTCCAATTTTAGATGGCATCTGCAATAAGATAAAGCAATTAAAGACGCCTACTTTGTAATAAATCTTTCTGATATAACTTAACTATCAAGATATTTTAAGGTAAGGTAAAAATAAAATATACATTTAAGGTTTAATTCAAATGGACTTTAATATTTTACCAGAAGTTTATACACAATACCACTTATTTATACATGAAGTATTCTCAAAGTACTCTTGGACTCCTAATGATTGTAAAGTTGCCTATTGTTAGTTAACCAATTTATTGCTCAATCAATATTTAATTATGCTTTAGTATTGAAAGAAAAATAATATTGAAAGAATTTCTTTTATTTATAAAGAGAAAAGTTTATTTTTTGTAACTGCGGTAATTATTTAAGATGAATAATATTAATATAATATAAATCTATTCCAAATGTAAAAAAATATATAAAAGAGTCTGGTGGAACTTCGGGATCAAGTGTAAAAGAATTTATACTTTAAATACGAATATCTTACTTAAAAATAGAAACAACTATTTTCAGTTAAAAAAATAACCGTTTTTTTCCTTGGGAAAATGCAATTAAGCATCCCCGCCGTTTCAGACAGCGGGGTATGTGGGACTCGTTTCCACTACCCACTAAAACCCACGGGTGTTCCTATGGTGTTCCCGAAGCAACCATGCCTTGAGAGTAGCTATGTTAGGCTAGGTTAGTTAGGTCTAGCTATGTTAGGTTAGTTGCTAGACAGCACGGTGGCCTCTGCAGAGACCTGCAACCACTCCGGCATGACGGGCCTTACCGCCGCTATAATATAAGTATTAATATCTATAATTTCGTGAATACCTTTTAAATGGCACAAAATTAAGAAACATCAAAGGTATCTGTTCTGTTATAAATAGACACTGGGACGATATATTAGTCAGTTCCAAAAGTATATGTTGAACAATAGACCAACTTCTACAAAAAGGCTATATCTTTCATGTATTGGATGATGACCAGTAAGAGAGTCCAGCGGAAAACCCATATATGTCGAAATTTTCTAACTGCAATGTTTAAACAGGGATTGTGGTGACTGTGCCATGTAAATACATCACATGGAAATCGCGGCAGTTCGTTTTTATACTATAGCGGACACAAAACAAAAGGTGTGGCATTTATCCACTTTAAAGGCTAAACCATACTGGATTGCTCTTATGGAGATAGGCAGGTCATCAAAACGGCTTTCCCGTAACTATTATCCATCTACTCAAACCATTGCCTTATTGTATACTCTAGGTATGAATGGTCTTGTTTCATCAGGAGTGGGTTATAAATTCCATGAAATCCATATTTTTGAGTTTGAGGAGTCTTATCCAACTATTCCGGTTTTAGGGTTAATGCTGCATGTTTATGATATCAGTTGTATAAAATAAGAAGACAATTATAATTTTTTCTCTATAAAATTAACAACTTTGAGATCAAAAAACTGTAATTAACGAAGTACGTTAACAACTGAATAAAATGTTTATACTAGATCTACATATATCAAAAGTGTCCCAAGACGAATTCAACTAATCTTGTCATGACGACTTGATTGATTTATAATTTGAACTAACCCAATTCTTATAACACTGAATTTTTGGATACTTTATTAAAAATAACCGCATTATGTTAATTTATTTCCATAATTACAAAAGAAAAACATTTAGATAAAAAAGACCGCTGTAATGTATGTCTATTTTTGTACCTTATATAGTAAAGATAAAAGAACCTTTTGAACAACCCCTGGCTTAAAAAGAGTGTTGGCCTTTAAGTTTCCCGTTTCAGTTAAAATCACACGTACCCGTCACTTTCGTGAGGGTCCCGGGGGATTCATAGAATATAAAAAGCCGAAATTTTATTAAATTACAGCTACTTACAGTTCAACAAAAATTTCATACATATTTGTTTGGTAGGTTTTGCATCATTGATTTACAAATACACACATTATAGGACCTTTTCAAATTTAGATCTTTGTAATATACAATATAATTGAGTTCAAATATTTCTCTAAATGAACTTTAAAAGTAACAACACCCAACTTAATATCGCCGCTCTATAAACCTAAAAATAAAACCTGACAAAAATGCTTACACAATATATATGAGCTTCAATATTGTTATCCACGACCATGTACTAATATCACGTTTCTAGGTGAGTGAGAAGCTAAATTAACTTTCAAAGTTATCTCAAGCAGAGTTGGGTGTCAGTAAATTTGTTAAAATAGTCCATGTAAATATGGCATGCCTGTATTTTTTTTGCCTTCCGTGCACCGTGCACAAGTAAGGTATAATAAATTGCTAACTCATATTTTTCATACGAAGGTACTCATAAAGAAAATAATTATATTTTCATACGAGTTAATTAGGAACAACCTTATTCAAATCCTGAGTCATTTGGGAATTAGCCAATCGTGTTTTGACGACGGTCTCTGATACCTAATTCGTGCTTGGATTACGATATGAATATTATAAGGAAAAATAAATTTTGTCATACAAATATTGTACATTGATTAGCATATCAATTTTAGTATCGGATTGTTACCAAATCGAATATTATATTTAGAGTATGTAATATAAAATAAAGGTTAATAATGAAAAAAAAGAAAAACATTTTTACTTATTGCCTGTTGCAAAAACATGATTTTTTTCATATTATATACGATATCAGATTGGTAATATTGATTTTTTTTTTCGTTTCTGAACTTTAATAGCAAAGTGATAATAGTACGTAACATTTCAATTTTCAAATACATTCCTTTTTGAGTTTTATTTCAAAGGATATAAAATAAAAAAAAATCTTTTTCATTACCGACTGACGTATAAAAAAATTGCTTCCAAATTGGTGTTTAATTTAGCAAGCGTGTAGCCTATTATTAAGGCGGAGTACACTTGGTACCAATATAACCATTACCAAGAAGTAGGTAGACTCTTAGAAAAGGCTTTTATAAATTTAACAACCGTTTTACTATATTTTTAAGCTCTATTTTAGTGTTTCTTTTTTGAACCTAATCTATTAGAAGGATTTTAAAGCACGCGATTCATTTGACGTGACAATCACGCGATGTCATAATTTTTATCAACATTCATGACACTGCATTTGAATAATATCATGGACATCTCTTTAGGTCAGAAAGGTTTCCAATAATTATATCATTACATTTCAATAACACCTTCAAAATATATACATCTGTTTGTATTTTAAATATTGATAAATATATTGCGTAGCGTAATAAAAAATATTTTGTGTTGCAGATTCATCAATTTCAAGATTAAACTTAGCTTTGATACCGATGTATTTTATAATTACTTTTAAAAGTTCCGAGTGCGCCTTCAACTCTAAACTTAAGGGTAACAATTTTAGTAGAAGTTGTAGCATGCGGACCCTTCTGAAGTTCACTTTGGCTCATGGTTCGTGACCCATTTTACTAAATAGTATAAATTATTAATGACATATTTTGGCCAAACTCTCGTAAGGCTCGAGGTAAATTCACAAACTTATGAATGGCTGAAATTTACTTGAATATATTCAAATTCTTAAAATAAACACAATATACTAAAACTTGAAAGTTATAAATACAAATTTAATATAAATACTTGAAAATCAAATCTTTAAAACAATTACAGTCATTACTCGGTCAATCAAAGCAATCGAACAATGAGAATTTTTTTCTGCCTACGCCCAATCCAAATTGATATCCGCATTTCCAAAGCGAAGCAATCTTCTGAAAGTGGGATATTATTATTATTTATGAAATCATAATGATTAATGCTTTTTAAATATTTTTTTATTCTGTTGTTAAAATTTTTATTGTATAAATAACTAGCATTAACATTTTCTTGTATCCAAGTGCTCATCCGCCCACCGAAGAAAAATAATATTATGGTAATCAAAATTCAAATATATTTTAAGAAGTTTGCCGATCCTCGATTTTCGCGAATAAAGATATCTCATAATAAAATATAAAATGAATATCATTAAATAGAAAACGACTTATTTTTACTTGAACGGGAAAGTTTATTATGAACTTTTATTTAATTTGCCACTTATATTTAAGTAAACCATTGCAACACAATTTTGTAGAATATACCTTCAACCAATTGGGTTGATATTTTGTATACAACTTAAATTTTGATGGTAATGCATCGTTAACTACGTCACTCTTAATCCAACATGGCGACACGCCCAAATGACACACGCACACACATGTATTTATATAAATCGCTTGATGTTTAAAAAGGTTTTTCAATTAGTATTTCTCATAGATGTGATAAAAGCGTAAGCTTATACTCTCTTATAAGTTCCATCAATAATAAAATAGAAAATCCTTATAATTTTTTTTTTCAAACAGCAATTAACTTACATTTATAACAATAATAAAACTTAATACTTTTTTATCTTATACACGTTTTACGACTATAATATATCTATATACCTGTACTCTTCAATAAAATAAATTGTGAATATTCGAGTAAATATCTATTCTTATTATTCATTCTTGATAGTGTCATTGAAATTATTTGATATTAATTTCATGTACAAATATATATTAAATTTTTCTCTCATTTCAGTTATGAACTTAGAAGCTAATCTTAGAGTTAGTATTTTAAATCTAAAGATCGCCAAGTTATGAAAACAGAAGAAAAACTTCGAATGAAACAAACCAACGTTGTTCCGTAACTTCATAAAGCGACTTCCGTTCGATCTTAATTAGTCATTGTAAAGCAAGTTAAGAAAGGTCGTTTACATAATTTTTTTAATAATTATACTAAAACATTTAAAGCCGAAAACAAGAAAAATTAAAAGTTAAAAATCAATCACTACCGAGATACAAGGACTTCTAAATGGGTAATTTGAAATTTTAATAGTTAAAAGGAGTCACATCATG